AAAACGACAGCAACTTGTCTGTTCCCCTTCCCCCAACTCCCCAGCGCTGTTCCCATCACCCCAGTTCCCCAATAAAAATCTTTTAAAAAAACAAAAAAACCAAACAAAAAAAAAGAATCAGCCAGTAGACTATAAGAGATACCACTGCTGATAAAAATTAAGAGAGTGAAAAAAAATATACATTCCTCTCTGGACATTCTGGCAACTCATCCAATACTAAGAGTGCTAGCTAGAGAAAATGTGGTACAGATAATGCCTAGAAACACTAAATAGTAATATAACTAAGAAAAGTTGAGATATTTGTGGAAGCAGAAGTGTAGGTAGGTAATTGTGCTAAATTATTCATTAGAGTTTAAAATAAATCAAGAAACAGGCAAAATTATATTAGAACTCTGTTATGGGAACCAACAAGAAGTAAATCAGAAGCACTTAAAAACAAAAATAAAAAAGCTACTCCTGGGAGTTTGGGCAGGGGTGGTTGTGCGCTATTATTCAGTTGTAATTCATTTACCATGTGTTCCTAATGCATTTATAATTATGAAACAACTTTTAAATTTATTACGTAGTAGGTCTGGCTATCAGGGAATTGTTAGGCGTATTATTAGGTAATGTGATTGTTTTTGTCCATAAAATACTTCTTAAAACCTTCAGGATGTGAGATGTGTAGGCCAGTCTAACAATTCAAAGGCATGTCCCCAAAGCTTGCAACACGTGTATATGCTACAGACATTATGTATAATAAGGCACAGAGAAGCATTGTAGGCATCGAGAGGGAAAAAAATAAAGAGGGTACAAGGGCTATTTCCTCTGTTCCCCTGCTTTGAAGCTTTGCCAAACCCACAGGTCTCTGGGGGGAACTATATTTGTTACATATGGAGCTGGGGAACCATTACCTCTTTGCCTCAATCACAGAAGTCTGTGTCTATGTCTTCAGCCTGCAGGGATCCCGGTGTTCCATCGCTTGTGAGGATGGACAGTACTTCAATGGCCAGGACTGTCAGCCCTGCCACCGCTTCTGTGCCACTTGTGCCGGTACCCTCTCCCCCAGTCCTTCCGTTTATTCTTCTGACTCTGGTTTGGCTTTTGTTTACCTGGTTTGGCTCTGGTTTGGCTTTTTGGTTTTAGCCATCACTCATGCAAACCCACTTGACATTTTTTAAGTAAATGCTAGGGAAGCATATTTCTTTTTCACTAATCATGCATGTATGTATTTTCATTGAAAATCAGTCCTCAGCATCCTATCCTCATTGAGAAACTTAAATACCCCAGTGATATCTCCTTCTCTTTCCAAAAGATGAGATGCTTTTGGCAAATAGGTTCAATTTAAAACGGGGGTGTTTTTTCCCCCAAAGAATGTAAGAAAAAAGCACAAATACTAAATTATAACTCTTAAAATTACAGCATTATTAATGGCATTTTCATAAACTGTGCAACAAACAACCCATCATGCAACCTTTTCTGAGGTTTTGTTTCTGTTTCCTGCATTTGTCTTGCTTTTAAGGGGCCGGTGCTGATGGGTGCATTAACTGCACGGAGGGCTACTTCATGGAGGATGGGAGATGTGTGCAGAGCTGTAGTATCAGCTATTACTTTGACCACTCTTCAGAGAATGGATATAAATCCTGCAAAAAGTAAGTGGATCCACACCTCAAGCCCTGCATTTAGTTACTGGGTTCCTTATTTGACTGCCTTCATAAATAATATGAAACTTAGAATTATTAATTATAACATAAGGTTCAAACATGTACCTCTGGACACGGCCCTGCAGCTTTAACCCAACTTATCTTTGATTTTTTTTTTTTTGCCTGAGGAGCACTTTAAAACCTTTAAAGTAAACCTTTAAGGTAATATATCTCTTTCAAGTACATGCTTACTGCTCTTTAAAATCACACTATCTACCTGCTAGGTTTTCTTTAATGTTGTCAAACCTAGCAATTACTTTAAGAAAACATTTTTTTGTCATCTTCAAAGAGAAACTTGAGCTTAAGAAATTAAGAGGTTAGTAGTAAACACATCTTTTCTTGTGCCTGATGTGTGAAAGGATGATAAATTGTATGTTTTCCCCATAGATGTGACACCAGCTGTTTAACGTGCAATGGTCCAGGGTTCAAGAACTGTACAAGCTGCCCCAGTGGGTATCTCCTAGATTTAGGAATGTGTCAGATGGGAACCATCTGCAAGGATGGTGAGTACAACTGCTGTTTTTGATCTTCTAATCCAAGTGTGATCTTTCTACTTGAAGACCTAATATATTTCCACTTGAAAAAGAAACTATCAAGTATGTGTCAAATAGGACATGCCCAATAGCTTGTTGACATTCATCTTGAACTTATGACTTCAGTGGGGTTTGTTTTTTGGTTTGGGGGCTATTTTTAATTGCAAGAAGAACTAAATCGCCTATAGTCCCACTGGCCAAGATGGCACCAGTTAACTTTTTTTAATTAATAAACTATAGTTTTAGCTGCTCAGCAAAATTGAGTAGTAATTACAGAGAGGTCCCATATATCCCCTGAACCCACACATAGCCTCTCCCATTATCAATATCCTGCACTAGAGTGATACATTTGTTACTATCGATGAACCTACATGGACACACCATGACCAGCCGAAGTCCATAGTTTACATTACGGTTCACTCTTAGTGTTGTACATTCTGTGGGTTTGGACAAATGTATAATAGCATGTATCTACATTTTAGTATCATGAAGGACAGTTTCACTGCCCTAAAAATCCTCTGTGCTCTGAATCATCCTTCCTTCCCCACAACCCCTGGAAATCACTAATTTTTTTACTCCTCCATAGATTTGCCTTTTTCAGAATGTTATATAGTTGGAATCATATAACACATAGCCTTTTCCAGTTAGTTTTTGATATATTTCTTTCCTATCTTATGCCATACGTACAGGGAACTTTGTATCCTGCTTTTTGCACTAAGCATTAGATATAAACATAATCCTGTTTTTACAAAGTCTTTAGAAACTACATTTTTAATAACAGCATAAAATTCATGGAGATGCTACAGTTTATTGCCACTCTATTATTTGGAATGACTATAATTTTGATATGTGAATAACAATCAAATGGTATCTGAATGGTTCATTAAGCCCATGAGGCTAGGAATTAATGATAGAACCAGGTACAGAAGTTAAAACTTCTGATAGTCTCTCCATTATTCTTTTCTACCCAAATGCCAGGACCTCACACCTTCCCCCAAATATTGATTGAATTGGTCTTAGGGTGTTGCCTGAGCATGGATATCTTTAGAAGCGTCTCAAGTGATTCTAATGTACATTCATGTTTGAGAACCTCTGACTCTACTCCATACCCCCTGACAATTTGGCAAATGCCAAGTTCCCTGACATCTCTAGCCTCAGTTTCCCCTTCTGTGAAATGAATGATTTTAAATTATGATTTTAAATTATTCCAACTTCAACATTTTGTGAACTTTGACTGTTCTTATAATTCACGCTGAAGGGGCCCTAAATTTGTGCCTAAAGTTTATACACACTGTACATGTCAGTGATGTAGAAATTGTTTGGAATTGTTGCTATTCTAAACATCTTTGGATTGTTATGAAAACAGAAAGATAAAAAACATATGCATTTGGACAGCCTCCCTTGAAAGATCATTCCCCTGGGTTTATTCTTTGTCTTCCTTTGAATAACTCCTCTTGTAGAAAGTCCACAAAGGTAGAATAGTGCTGTGGTTGGGAGAATGTGGATTCAGGAGTCAGAATGCAATTGTTCATATCTGGACGGCAGACTTTGGGCAGGTTCTGAATTTCTCTGAGCCTCACTTCCTTCATAAGTAGAAATGAGGAGGATAATATTACTGACCTCGTATGGTTATTCTACAGCTGTTAGGAATGTCAAAAGACCTCAAAAAATTGGGCAGGCAACAGCACTGATAGAACATCATTTGTGGTCTTGTTTCCATGGAGCGTCATAGGTAACTGGACCTTCATAGCTTTTTTGTTATAGGACAGGTCTGGCAGGGAAAGGGCAAGCCCACTCAGGCTTTGCATTGCAAGGTTTTCTTGGCTAGGGCTGATTTTTACTGCACAACATTGTGGTGAGAGGAGTAGATGATGGCACCCCCAGGACCATGTAAGTATCACTTTTTAATTACCAACAATTATGCCTTATCATTACTTAAAAACAGGGCTCTCCTATATCTGAATATGACTAGAATTTTCATAAGTTCATTTCTGAAAGCAGATGCCTTATCATTACTTAAAAACAGGGCTCTCCTATATCTGAATATGACTAGAATTTTCATAAGTTCATTTCTGAAAGCAGATGAAGATTTTTAACTGATTCATCTAACTGTGACTTGAAATTTTCATCCATAACACTTGGTACCAGTCATTTCAAGGTTTGTGATGCTTTAACTAATTTCCCTAAACCATGGTAGGCATGTGAAAATGTATGCCAAATGGCACTTTGGTAAAGTGGAGTGTCAGGATTGTGGGAAGCAATGGAAAAGAAATAATTTGCAATGAGTCCATTTTCAGGTCAGTTAAAGAAGGAGAGTACTGGCTTCAGTCAAGATGGCAGAGTAGGTAAATGCTGTGCTCACCTCCTCCCACAACTTCATCAAAATTACAGCTAAATTATAGACCCATCATTGATAACCACCTGAAGACCAGCTGAACAGAATTCCTATAAGTAAGGATATAAAGAAACAGCCATGTTGAGACTGGTACAAGGGGCAGAGATGTGGAACAAGCAAGTCCCACAGCCTCAGTGTGGCGACAAGGAATTGGGAAGAATAGCTCGGCTATGGAGGCCCACCCTGAGGAGCTCCGTGTCTCAGCCCCACACCAGGCTCCCCAGCCTGGGACACTGGCACCAAGAAGAGAAGTGCTCATAACACTTGGTTGTGAAAACCTGTTGGGATTGTATTCAAGAAAGACAACAGGCTGCAAGAGACCTAGGCGTTCCAGGCCTTATAGGGCCCAAACACAGATTCACTCACTCTGAGCTCCAGCACAGGGGCAGCAGCTTAAAAAGCAGCAGAGACATACAAGGAAGAACTAAATTAACTAACTTCAAGGCAAGAGCTGGAAGTGCTAGAGGACACTATTGTTCCTTTGTTGAATTCTGTCCCAATCCAGCCAGCATGCACCAAATCTGAGTTCTGCAGTAACCTCGAAAAAACTGTACACCCTGCTCTGGTGATACCCTGGGGCACCACCCAACTCACATACCCAGAAAGAACCTATTTCCATGGCTTTTCTACAGAAGCAGACTGCCTGGACTTGCACTGCAAATGTTCCTAAAGTCTCTCAAAAATCCACAAACCCCAAATAAGCTGCAGTTGGCCTCAATGTGACCTGTACCTCTTGTTAAGCAGCCCCAAACCTGGCACTAAGGGAGCCAGCCTTGGTTCACAACACGGCCTCTCCAAGGCAACTCCAAGCCCAACACAGGTAGCAATCAACTACACATCACTTTGTAGCTCCTACCAGGTGGCCCCAGGCTGTGCACAGGCAATAGCTGACCTTGGCCTGCACCAGAACGCCCCCCAAGAGACCCCAGAACCAAAAAACCTGGTGGCCAGCTTCAGACCAAACCAGAGCACCACCCAACCAGCTGCATAAACTACACATCTAAAGAGCGGCTTTGCCAGGCACCAGAGCCACACTCAACTGTCTCCCGCTCCATGGGGTCAGCCCCCCGCACAACAACTCATCTGCTGTAGTCATGGCCACTTCTCACAGCCAGTCAGCCTGAGGGTCAATCCCACCCACTGACATGCCAGTAGCCATCAAGGCTAAACTACAACAGGAGGGCCCACACAGGGGACACCCCTGGAACACCCAGCTCAGGTGACAAGGGAGACTGCACTAATGGGCTCTGCAAGACACATTCTACATAAGGCCACTCTATCAAGGCCAGTGGAAGATCTACCTAGTACATAGAAAGAAACACAGAGAGTAAGCCAAAACGAGGAGACAAAGAAATGCTTCCCAAATGCAAGAACAGGACAAAACTCCAGAAAAAGAACTAAATGAAATGGAGACAAATAATCTACCAGAAGCAGAATTCAAAACAATGGTTATAAGGATGTTCAGTGAACTTAAGGTAAGAATACATAAACTCAGTGAGAGCTTCAACAAAAAGATAGAAAACAAAAAAAAGTCAGAAATGAAGAATACATTAAAGAGAATCAACTGATTGGATGAAGCTGACTATCAAATCAAAGATCTGGGAGACAAGGTAGCAGAAAACACCCAATGGAACAGCAAAAAAGAAAAAATGAAACACACACACACACACACACACACACACACACACATATATATGTATTTTAAGAAACCTCTGAGACAACATTAAGCATACCAACATTTGCAGCATAGGGATACCAGAAGGAGAAGAGGGAGAGCAAGCGATTGAAAACCTATTTGAAGAAATAATGACTGAAAACTTCTCTACCCTGGTGAAAGAAACAGGAAGTGCAGAGAGTCTGAAACAAGATGAACTCAAACAAGGTACACACAAGGACACATAATGATTAAAATGCCAAAGTTTAAAGACAAAGAGAGAATCTTAAAAGTAGCAAGAGAAAAGCAGTTAGTTATGTACATGAAACTCCCATAAGATCATCAGCTGATTTCTCAACTGAAACTTTGCAGTCCACAAGGGATTGGCATGAAATATTTAAAGTGATGAAAGGCAAAGACCTAAAAGCAAGATTACTCTACCCAGCAAGGCTATCATTTAGAATCGAAGGAGATATTAAGAGCTTCCCAGACAAGAAAAAGCTGAAGGAGTTCATCACCACTAAACCAGTATTACAAGAAAAGTTAAAAGGACTTATTTTGGAAGAGAAGATCAAAAATATGAATAAGAAAATATAGGAAAGAAAACAATTCTCACCAGCAGGAAAACACTTGGTAAAAACAATAGATTAACCAACTATAAAGCTAGTACAAATGTTAAAAGGCAAAAGTAGAAAGATGATGTGTAATTACAACAATAAATTAAGGGATTCACACAAAATCTCATGAAGTATTAAAAAATAGTGACAAGGGCTGGCCGAGTGGCTCAGCTGGTTAGGAGCTCGCTTGGCAGTGCCAGCTCTGAGCAGCAGGGCTGCGGTTCGGATCCCACATTGAGGGCCAGTGACACTCGCCCTCTACAGCTAAGATGATGAACAACAGCTCCACCTGGAGCTGGGCTGC